GTAAGTAAAACTGCAATGAGGGGGGGACTGACGGGCAGATTGAGGTAACAGAGTGCACCTCATCAGCTCCTTTCGCAGGAAGCATGTTGACCACTTCAACCAGCAGTCATTTTCAACAGCTCTGTGGGCACAGGTATTGATCACGTGGGCAGGGCAATCGTCTTGCAGGACATAAGGAAAGGCTCTGTGCGATTAAGGTAAAAGAAAGTACTTAAATACTGCTGGTCCTGAGTGATCTAGAACAGGAGAGGTCGAGCCTTCATGCACTTTCTGCATTGTTAATTGCCAGATATGTCAGGTTGTCTAAAAAACAAACACTACGTTCGATATTCCCTGATATTGCCACTCAGAATCGGGTAGAGATTGCAGATCCCCATGCCTTTCGCTTTCTGTGCCCTGCATAGGCGATTTTCTAGGCATTATTTTTCATTTTCTCCTGTAGGCAAAGTGCACTTAACACCACGATAAACCTTGAATCAACAAGAAACCGTTTGCTTAGTGAATAAGCAAGAGATGAAAGATCGTGCACCTTTCCTTAGACTTTGATCTCGACACTGCAAACCGAGGAAGGGTAGCTTTCAAACATAATAAACAGGAAGAGTGATGAGTACAAAAGACTCTGCTGTCGAGAGGTCAGAATGAGAATTGGAGTGACAGCTTGAGGCTGAGATGGTCTTGTAACAGATTCGTGTATTTCCACCATTCGTCCTCGTCTTAACAAAAACCCAAGGTCCGCATTACGCATTACGTTCCTCCCGTCGCTCAAATGTCCATCATCCGGCGTTTTAACATTCTCATGTTATTGACCGGCAGCTTTCAACAAAATCGGAGGCTACCATAATCTGGAAGAGGTCTACCTCAGGGCAGTGCCCTCCAAGATCATCCCCAACACCACGTGCCACCTGCCGCGGGCCGATGCCATGCACCTGTTCCGCGACCCTGTGGCCGGCGACTTGCCCTGGACCGGCATGACGTTCGGCCTCACCATTCTTGCCACGTGGTACTGGTGCACCGACCAGGCAAGTGCTCCTCCTTCCACGCGTTTTCACGGTAGAGACGCCGCCCCCGGTCGGTCCCTGCACTTGGGCTGGCACTTCCTCAGCCCAGCACCCTGACCCACCCCGCCGCAGCCCTGTGGCAAGAACAAGGGCAAAAACACTGCCCCGGGGGGGGGGCGGAGAAACGGCCCAATGAAAACCAGGCAACTCGAGAAATCGCCTAAACCGAAAAGTTGCACGTTGAAAAGGGAGTTCCCCGAACATGAAACAGCCCTCTGTTCTGGGACAACAATACGGGAGAGGGGTCCCATGCTGCTGCTAGACAACTCCTTTATGTCCCAGTGCTGCTTTCTTCTGCAAGGTGCCCAGAGTGCCCCCAGGGATCCGGCCCCGCAGGTGTTTAATCTGAGCGAGCTTGGCCAAGGAGATGCCAAAGGGAGTCCGGGAGCTGTCCGCCTGACTCGAGGGTAGCCCGTTGGGAGCACTGCGTCCCTGAGGGGACAGGTGGCCGGGGCCCGTCTTGCTGTGCCAGTACTTGTGTCCCCCGATGACTGGCGCCGCCGCCTTGGCGGGTCGATGGTAGCAGCCCGGCTTGGCGATCACCACTTTCACGGGTCCCCGCGGCTGGCTGTCCCTCTCCGTGCGGACAGTGCCGACGGGAGACCGGGACGTCACCTGATACAGCTGTGGAAGAGCAGAACAAGCGGGCTTGGTTAATCTCCGGGGCTTCACGCCACATGGGCGTGTGTGTCCCCCCTGCAGGATCAGTCGTTTCAAATTCTGTACCTGCGAACGTGTGCATTCTGTATTATGCCTGCGTACTGCAGAATAGCTTTGTTTTCTCTGCAATTAAAGTATAATTAATTCATTTTAAATGCGAAGAAAACGGCTTTTTTGATAAGCCTGTCAGGTAAACCAAACATACAACCAAATTGGATATAGATGAATCCTTTATGAAAGGTCCCGACCTGGTTGGTATCGAAGTATTGTTACAGGATTTTAATTTCAAAAGGTTTATTAGGGCCTCAAGAGTTTCTACAGCTTAGATAGCTCTAGGCTTGTGGCAACCGTGTGAGGTTTAGGTGGGGTGTGTCATCACATCTCTGTGAGGGATGTTCTCCGTAGTGACTGTGCCTGTTTCCTCATAGGTGATTGTCCAAAGGTCCCTATCTGCCAAGAATCTCAGCCATGCTAAGGGAGGGTCAATTCTGGCCAGTTATCTCAAGATGCTGCCCATGATCTTTATAATCTTGCCCGGGATGATAAGCAGAGCCCTCTACCCAGGTAAGACACTGCGCCTCAGCTCCTAGACTGCTCTTTACACAATGCAAAGAGAACTGCTTCTTCCTTTCCCTATAGAATGGCTCCGCTGTCTGCACTCACTCAGGCAGTCGTTGTACAGGGAGAGCCATTCTATAGGGAAGCGAAGAAGCAGTTATCTTTGCATTGGGTAAATGAGATCACAGCACACTGACACCAAACCAGTACCTTTCAGGCAGGCAGACCTCACTGCCTTTGTGTATAGGTGGCAGGTAGTGTGAATTAGTGACGGTTATACAATCAGGGAGATGGTTGTGCTCTTTCGGTATGAGGTGGGAGGCAGCTCTCGTTAGACGTGCATCTGTCCTGAGAACAATATCAGCATGAGGGGGTTCATGACTGAGCGATCTTTCAGGTGTGGAGCACAACTTGGATAGTTCCAGGAAACATTATGAAACATCACTTTTATTATTTTATGTAATCGATTCTAGTCCTGATCAGAAAGATACCGAGACATTTTCATCTGATTTAGCCTCTACAGAGAGAATACTGGGATCATTTTCCTGGTCATCCTTATAGCCACATTTTATTGCAGGCTTTTTGTGGGTCTTTCCACCTATAAAATAGTTTCT